TATGATTTGGAAAAATAAAAAAATAAAAAACGTTGAAGGATTGAATGGTAAAATTGATAATTTTGGATGAAATAGAAAAAAAAATTGATAATTTAAACTTAAAGGATTATAGCATATGAATTAGAGCATATGATTTTGAAAAACTATTTCTAATAAAGCATATGATTTTGACAAACTATTTCTAATTAGACAAACATTCTATATATTATATGCATATAAGTTTTTACTGATTTTGACAACTATTTCTAATTAGAGCATATGATTTGGAAAAATAAAAAAATAAAAAACTTGAAGGATGAATGGTAAATTGATTAATTTATGATGAAATAGAAAAAAAAAAAATGATAATTTAAACTTAAAGGATTAGAGCATATGATTAGAGCATATGATTTTGCACAAACTATTTCTAATTAGAGCATATGATTTTGACAAACTATTTCAATTAGACAAACTATATAATATATGCATATAATTTTTACTGAATTTTGACAAACTATTTCTAATTAGAGCATGTGATTTGAAAAAATAAAAAAATAAAAAAACTTGAAGGATTGAATGGTAAAATTGATAATTTATGGTGAAATAGAAAAAAAAAAATGATAATGTTGAAGAGATATAAATTGAAAACAACCATAAAATAATTAAAAAAACTTAAAAACACTAATTAGATTAATAATTGTAATTAATTGATAAATGTTTATAATAATTAAAAAATAAACAGTTTTATTATATATATATATATATAATATATATAGTCAGATATTATTAATAACCATAACAGACAGTATTTCAGATTTAGATATATATACATATAGATTTATATACATTGCATATATATATAGACAGATTTATATATATAGATTTCGGATAAACAGATTTATATATACATATATATAGAGATTTTTCAGATTTATATATATATATAGACAGATTTATATATATAGATTTCGGATAAACAGATTTATATATACATATATATAGAGATTTTTCATTTATATATATATATATATATAGATTTATACACATTGCATATATATATATATACATAGATTTATATATATATACACAGACCGAGAGAGAGAGAGAGAGAGAGAGAGAGAGCATACGCAGAGGGAGAGAGAGTCGTCGCCGGAGCACCACTCTTGTCGCCGGAGCCGTCGCCGCCGCACCACCGATGTCTTCCTCGTAGGCCGTTTGGGGAATTTGGGGGTGAAGTTAGGGATTTGGGGAGGAGGATCGAGCGGCAGCCAAGAGGAAAAAGGAGGGGTTTTTTTTTTTGGACTTTTTGCGACGGTATGATTTTTCCCGTCGCAAAAATAAGGCAAAACGGCGCCGTTTGCATTAATCCTTTTTTGCGACGGCAAATTTCCGTCGCAAATGATATATGCCGTCTAAAAAAAAAGGTGTTTTGCGACGGTTTTATTTACCGTCGCTAATACGTCCGCATTTCCGACCCCTCCGCTTGGTTTCATTACCGACGGGTCATTACCGTCGCTAAAGGGTATTATTTGCGACAGGTGCAGTTACCGTCGCAAAAAACCGTTTTTTGCGACGGGGGGCGTGGCGTCGCTAAAACTCCGTGTTTTTTGCTATGTTTTCTTGTAGTGAATCTTTTGCAAGAGGGAAACAATTATTTATTTTACGTGCAAATTGATAAGGTCTAAAATGAAATTACTCACAATATTTTATAATTCATTGATTTTTACTTTTTTATTTTTATTTTTTAGATTTGATTGATTTTTAATACTTGAATCACTATATATTGGAGTCAAATTTAAAATGCATTTAAAGTTTAGAAATGAGTTTTAAGTGATTTTTGAAATTATATTGACTTCGCCTATTAAATTTTTTTTTATTAATGATTATTATTGATTTTATATTTTCATCTTTTAAGTTTTACTTATAATCAAATAATCTTAATTTAAAAGAGGCAGATTGTAGCTAAACACCTCCTTTCCTTTTTTTGCCCTTTTCATTACACCCTCCGTCCCATATTATTGGTCCATTTTTCATTTTTTGAATGTTTCAAAATATTTGTCCATTTTAAACAGTCAAAATATAAAATTTTAGAAAATTCCAAAACTACCCTTAAAAATAATTATAAATATATTTAATGATGAGAATAAAAGGGGCAATATGGTAAATTAATATATTTTGATTTGGCTTCAAAACAATAATTACATGTTCCACTAAAAAGTTAGAATTCCTAAAAGAGACTATTATTGTCGGACGAAGGGAGTATTTTATTTATTTATTTTTTTATAACTCGATATCTACTCTATTGGACCGACTAATTCAGAAGACTAATCTAACTATCCACTTGGAGGGTCCCAATTGCCTTATTTGGACTGACCCAAGAATTTATTTATACCTAAAAGATTTCGAATTAAGACGTTAGAGAGAGCACACCCCCAAACCCTACACCTTGACCATCAAGCCAACAACCCCTTCAAGTTTCCCCCATCATTTTTTATCTAAAAAGTGCTGCTATTAGCACCTGTCAAAATTCTTTGGGCCCCCCATTTTATAATTTTTTTATTACAATTATACCCTAAAGTAAAATTACATTAAAAGACATTATTAAATGAAATACCCACCTATCAATAAGAACTAATACTCTATAATATTGGACACCCACCCCCACCCCACCCCTACCTCCAACTCTAACTATACGTATTTCATGTTTGTAAACCCTAAACCTATTATTTTTCATAACCAACTAATATAAACCCTAAATTTATTATTTTCTATAATCATCTTAAATCCTGAATGTGTCATCTTCATCACCATCATCAATGCTATTGAACTTGAAAGTTTTGCTTCAAGTATAACGTATACTTCATCACTTATTTTACTGTGTAAAGCAATGGAGGACGAGGACAAGTATTCTAGTGAGACCGGCATTCCATTAATAAGTTTATCTGTCTTGTATTAACATTCTTGGTCGTTTTCGGTCGTTCTTGTTTCGTTCGAGCTGTTCAGTACTGGTTTGCTGATTGTTAGAATTATGTTCGGTAATACAGTACTGAACAAAATCCTTTCGTTCAATACATAGGTTCCGAACATTAATGCAGATAGTCAGTTATGTAATTTTCTTTGTTAAACTAACTTAGAATGGAAAAGAGTGAATTGGAATGGATTTAATGCAGATAATTAGTTATGTAATTTTCTTTGTTAAACTAACTTAGAATGGAAAAGAGTGAATTGGAATGGATTTAAGTTATGTATTTTGAATGGATTTAATTCATGCTATTTTAAGTTGTGAATTGGAATGGATTCAAGTTACACAGAGATGAACAAATTTTGTTCGGACATACAGCGCTGACAGGATCATTATTGTTCGACAAAACAGTCCTGAACAAAATACATTTTTTCGGCTACACAGTGGTGCACAAATTCAAAATCATCACTCGAATCTGCTGATCTCCTATCGAGATTCTTGAATTCAGGGTATTTAGATGAAAGCTTTAATCTAGTTCTTCTGGCTTGTCTCCAAAAACCCAGATGCAGAAACTGAGATTCTCAAAGAAATCAATGAGAAATCCGAACCTCCGATCTACGAAGAAGTGAAAGACATGGTTTACACACACGCGTCGCTGAACGAGACCATGAGACTCTACCCACCCATCCCCATTGAAGGAAAGCAAGCTTTAAAGAACGACGTGTTGCCAGATGAGACAGTAGTGAAGAAGGGTATGAGAGTGAATTACCATCCTTACGCAATGGGGATGTCGGAGGAACTGTACTGGACCAAAGCTCCAAACTCTGAAGATTGAGTGAGTCAGGGAAGGAGAGTGATGAAAAATTAGGTGGGTGTGCATTTCATTGTGAAAATATTATGAATATGGGTAGATTTGATAATAAATGGGGGTGTCTAAAAAAATATTATTAAAATTTAAGATTTAGGGTTGGGATCCAAAGAAATGGGGGGTCTAAAGAATTTTAGTAGGTGCTAACAGCAGCACTCTTATCTAAAACTATCCTCACAATCATCATCTCTTTGATCAAAACTCGAGAGAATTTAAATCTTATTTTTATATGGGCATCTTCTTGCATTTTAAATTAACAATTAATAAAAAAAATTAAATGTAATAAAATTAAAAAAAGAAATATCATTTGATAAACTAATTAAAAAAGTGATTCCTTAGAGTGGAGAATCCATTGCTGGAGATGTTATAATACCATATGAAAAAATAGATTCAACTTAAAAAATGATTCTTTAAAATGGATAACCTATTTTTTAACTATTTTTTTCTATTAAAAAAAATGTATTATTGGAGTTTCTCTAATAAACCACATGATGAAGTAGAACAAATTCAACCAAGGATTGCATCATTCATGGAGCATTAATTATATAATTTAGGAAAATGCCTCGTAGCTTACACCCCCAAACCCTACACCTTGACCATCAAGCCAACAACCCCTTCAAGTTTCCCTTGTCGTTATGTATCTAAAATTATCCTCACAATAATCATTTCTTTGATCATAACTTGAGAGAATCTAAATCTTATTTTTATATGGGCATCTTCTTGCATTTTAAATTCACAATTAATAAAAAAAATTAAACGTAATAAAATTAAAAAAAGAAATATCATTTGATAAACTAATTAAAAAAGTGATTCCTTAGAGTGGAGAATCCACTCTTTAACTAAAACTTAAAGAAAAAATACAGAGTGTTGCTGGAGATGTTATAACACCATATGAAAAAATAGATTCAACTTAAAAAATGATTCTTTAAAGTAGATAACCTATTTCTTAACTATTTTTTTTTCTATTAAAAAAAATTTATTATTGGAGTTTCTCTAACAAACCACATGATGAAGTAGAACAAATTCAACCAAGGATTGCATCATTCATGGAGCATTAATTATATAATTTATAGATGAGATATTTTATGATCTCAACCAACTTGTCACGTGAACTTCAATCCGCCCAAAATAAAATAAAATAATTTAAGTTTACTACAATTTTTTATTGAGCACATGAGTCCACCTTCCTGGTATTTTTTAATGCAATTCACATCTCACCAAGGCATTGCAAGCAAACTCTCCACTTCCAACAATGGACTTCTTGACCTCTACACTCTATCTTCTATTAGCGTTGACTTCAATTCGAGCCCTCTTTTCCTTTCTAAGAGGAACCAAAAAATGTCCAAAGCTGCCTCCGGGACCGGTCCCATTACCGGTGATCGGAAACCTCCTGAAACTCGGAGACAAGTCCCACCAGTCCCTAGCCGAGCTAGCGAAAACTCACGGACCCATCATGAGACTGAAACTCGGCCGAGTAACCGTAGTGGTGATATCTTCATCAGCCATGGCCAAAGAAGTCCTCCAAAAGCAAGATCTCGCCTTCTCCAACCGGTCCATCCCCAACGCCCTCCACGCCCACGAGCAGTACAAGTACTCGGTGGTTTGGTTACCGGTCTCGAATCGATGGCGGAGCCTCCGGAAAATCCTGAATTCGAACATATTTTCGGGCAACAGGCTCGACGCCACCCAAGAGTTGCGGCGGCGGAAGGTGGCGGAGCTGGCGGAGTACGCCCAAAAATGTAGCGAAGAGGGTGTTGCGATGAATATTGGGAGAGCTGGTTTTAGGACGTCGATGAATGTGTTGTCGAATACTATTTTTTCGGAGGATTTGGCAGACCCGAGGGAGGATACGGGGAAGGAGTTTAAGGAGTTGGTATGGAATATAATGGTGGAGGCTGGGAAGCCCAACTTGGTGGATTTTTTTCCCCGGGTGGCCAAGATGGATCCGCAAGGGATAAGACGGCGGATGACGGACTACTTTGGGAGTGTGCTTGAGCTTTTTGGGGGATTGATTGATCGGAGGTTGGAGGTGAGGAGATTTAGGAAGAGTCTGGAGGAAAATGATGTCATCGATATTTTGCTCAATATTAGTGAAGAGAATGGTGATGAGATCGACAGAGTTCACATTGAGCGCTTGTGCTTGGTATGCCCCTTTTCACCATTTTACTTTTTTACCCTTTCATTTATTTATTTGTTTATTTATTTTTTGTGAATTGAGAAATGGTATATAGCTGTCATTTATCTAGTTTTGTTTTGTTTTTTTTTGAATTTATTTATATTAGTTTATTTTGAAATATGATGTGAAAAATATAAATATTTTTTAAAAAATATTTATATAATAATAAATTTATCATTTAAAATTAGAGCATTGTTACTAGTAAATATGTCCACTACACCAGTCTAAAAATAGTAAGTTACGTATAAAAATCAAAATGAGACAAATATTTCACAAAGAATTAGGGATTATTTAAGATTTGTTTATTTAATATATTTTTCGATTTTTTATAAAAAAGTGTGTAGAAAAATAAAAAAATGATGTGACCGAAATAAATTAAATCATTCCTAAACAATCTCTTAGTCTTATATATAGATCCCATCTCTTATTAAACATTTGTATTTAATTTTGTGTTTGACCTCTATACACTGAAATTTATTATTTTAAAAAATGAGTTCAATAATGACTAACAACAATGTTATATGCATAAAATGTACAAAAATTATCACATGAAAATAGGATGAACCCACACATGTGAAACTCACATGGGACAAAAAAAATAATTGGTTGGTTTTTTTGAATTTATTTATATTAGTTTATTTTGAAATATGATGTGAAAAATATAAATATTTTTTAAAAAATATTTATATAATAATAAATTTATCATTTAAAATTAGAGCATTGTTACTAGTAAATATGTCCAACTAGTAAATATGTCCAATCCGTAAGGCTCATAATTGCACCTTCCCTTTTTACGCGAACCCATTAATTGAGAGGACTACCTGGCGCCGGTTTAGTGTTTGAGATATTCTAAATAAGTATATGTTTTATTTTTTTGAATTAAAAAGTTGAGAAAAAATATATAGATATTTGTGTTAATTTTTTAATTTTTTATGAAAAAATGTGTATTAAAAAATTGTATAAATAAATGTGTAGGAGAAGATAGGGTAATAGGCCGTACGGATTGGCAGTGGAGTCTGGCGGGTGAGTAGATGAGAAAATATTGTCTCCTTCTCGGGCTTTGATTGAATGGTGTTATTTGGCCCATGGGGACTCATCACGGGTCCCGTTTTTCTAATCGGAATCGTTCAATGTGTAGAACTCGTCGAGTACTATATGTTTGTAAAAAATTACATTGATTGGATATCGATAGCTATCTGATCGTGTTAGTTTTTTTGTGTTAATTGTTAACTGTAACACCATCCATTTTTATACAAAACTGATTTGATCATATAGTTAGCGATATCCGATAGACGTGATTTCTTACAGCCATACTAGACGAGTTCTACATATTGCACGGTTCAGATTATCAAAAATGGACGCATGGTGGGCCCCCACGGGCCCAACTTTACCATCCAATTTAGTGAATATACACATAATTTTTTTCTTTTGTCTACTAGTTCATCACGTTAGTACCAATCTTGGGCCATCTACTTTATATGTATTAATATTTGAATATTAATTTTTTTAATATTTTTTTTTGGTGAATAGTGATAATTTTTTAACTTTTTGAGTAACTTTTTGACTTTTTCTAAGGTTGTCAAACCAGCCCTAAGTTAAAAAATCACAAAAGGATTTAAAAAAAAAATTAAAAAGTCAAAAATTACAAAAGGATAAAAAAATATTTGTCATTTTTAAGATAAAAAGTCAAAAAAGTCAAATAAGAAAACCAAACAAACAAATTAGTCTAAAAAAGTGAAAAAGTAAAAAAATCAACTAAAAAAGTCATTGCCAAACGACCCCTTAGATAGCGTTGGTAAAGTTGAAAGTTGAAAATTGAAAATTAAATACTAAAAGTTAAGTATTAAATATTGAATATTGAATTTTTTAAATGAAAAATTTGTTTTGATAAAAATTTAAGTACTGAGGTTTCGTTTGACAATATCATTTTTTAGCCCAAAAGTTAAAAAATTACTAAAAAATTAAAAAGTCAATAGCCTATATCAAAAAGTCAAAAAATTCATTTTTTTTCTATTTTTTGCACATCTTTTTGTAAAAAATCAAAAAACCATCCCAAATATATTAGTTTTTTTTACATCATACTTTAGCTAAAAAGTCAAAAAATTTCTAAAAAAGTATGTTTTCAAACGAGGCCTCAGATAACTTGTTTGATATGTATAAGAGTCAATTTAAATTTATTATTTTCAAATTATATATTTTAATTTTTATATTGTAATGGTGGTAGTGATGGTATGATAGTGATAGTGATAGTGATAGTGATGGTGATGGTGATGGTGATTGTAGCGGTAGTAACAGTAGCGTTAATAATGGTGACAGTAGTGGTAGTGGTAGTGATAATAATGATAGTAAAAAAATAGTGATACTCATGGAAACAATGGTGATGAATGTGGTAGCATAGTGGTGGTGGTGGGGTGGTGACGGTGGTGATAGCAATGGTGATGGTGACATTGGCTGTGTGATGGTGACATTGGCTGTAGTGACGGTGGTTTGGTGGTGATGGTGAGAGTAACGGTGTTAGTGTGATGACATTGATTCTAAAAAAAGTTTTTGGCCTTTTGAAAGTAAAAAACATTTATTATCAATCTAGACATATTTTTTTGTTAATTATGAAAAATATGTTTTCTTATTTTACATTTTTTATTATATCAAACTCGAAAAAAATATAAAAAATATATACATGTGTTAGACTCGCATCGGCTTATTCTGTTATCAAGATGAGTCATCCGCTTCACCGAGAGTGAGGCTTTCCCACGGTAATTGAATGGTCAGCTGAATGCGTAAAGGCCCCTCAATTCCGTTTCATACTGGAGGAAAGAGCTCTATATTAGCGAATTGCCTCTGACTACTCCTCCAAGGCTGGAACAATGGTCTAACCCCACGGACTAGTTGTTTAGCCCTACTAGCGGGAGCCAAGAATTCATCGTAATTGTTGACGGCACACAGAATAAGTATCATATTACACCTAACTAAAAGAGCGGTACACATTTCACCAAAGCATTTATGTTGTGTTTGGTTGGAGGATTTGAGGAGGAATTTGAAAAGGGAAAGGGAAAATGTGTGTGACACTAGGTGAAACTTAGGCATGTTTTATTCATATTTCACCTACCTTTTCCATTTTTCTTTCCAAATTCCTTCTCAAATCTCCCAACCAAACACAGCATTAAGGATGACATGACTACGCTAAAAGCGTCTTATCATGCCAAATAATTTTAAGGTGTACTTGGGCTCTTTTGCAAAATCGTTCCATTAATTAGTTGACTTTTGAAAGTTTTGAACTGTAATTTAATTCATATACAAATTCTATTATAGGATCTATTTGCAGCGGGAACAGAAACGACTTCAAGTACATTGGAATGGGCAATGGCAGAACTATTACGCAATCCAAAGACTCTAAAAAAAGCCAAAGTCGAACTTGAACAAATAGTTGGCAAAGGCAAACCAATATCAGAATCTGATATTCCACACCTACCATACTTGAGTGCTATTGTGAAGGAAACCTTGAGGATGCATCCAGCAGTTCCCTTCTTAATTCCTCGTAAAGTTGACTCAGAAGAGCAAGTTTGCGGCTACACAATCCCAAAGGGGACGCAAGTGCTAGTAAACACTTGGGCTATTGGCCGCGATCAAAGCATATGGCCAAACCCCACCTCATTCATGCCAGAGAGGTTCATGGACTCGAAGATTGATGTTCGAGGCTGTGATTTTGAGCTAATTCCATTTGGTGCAGGTCGAAGAATATGTCCTGGGCTGCCATTGGCGATAAGGATAATTCCGATGATGTTGGGTTCGCTCATAAACTTGTTTGATTGGAAGCTTCAAGGTGGGATTGAACCAAAGGACTTGGACATGAAGGAAAAGTTTGGCATCACATTACAGAAGGCTCAACCTCTTCTCACTGTTCCAATCAGTGGTTGACAACGTGTTTCTCTCCTTTTTAGTAGTAATAATATTATGGTGATCACATTTTCTTATTATCTTTCGTTTATTATCTCACGTGTCATTATTATTTAGGTTAATAAATTTTATGACTTACATATCTTATTAATACAATGATTACATATCATGTAATAAAAAAATAAAAAAATAAAATATGATAAAAAATTGATACTTCAATTCGCGAGTGGCAAAATGATTTCCTTTTGTGCTTGGGTAAATGCCAGAACACCTTTGTGACAACCAGTCAAGTCCTAAATAAAAGCTTTGCTCATTTATGTATAAGCTAGATTTAAAGTGCATCCCACTCAACTTTTATTTCAACTTCATTTGATTTGTTATGTTGGACTTGGATGTATCCATTTTTTAAGGATGATTTATAAAAGAAAAAATATAAAAAGGAGAAAGAATATGGGATATATGTATTTTATCAATTTTAAAACACTTTAAATTAATTTTACATTTTTTTAAAACTTTGCCCATGTTTAAAACACTTTTTTTAATAGGAGGATATCCTCTAGTCCAAAATCTAAATTAGAGGGTATTGTTTGGACCCGTGGAGTCTACTACGGGCCTTATTTCGATTGCCTGAAACCGTTCATTTTGTCAGACACTTTGTGTGATTCATTCACACAAAATGTGATTTATTTTTAAAAATACAATTATCGTCCATTTTTTGGGTATAAAATGTTGTAAATTGAATAAGTTACAGTTTTCCGATCGATCTAATTTTTTTTATGTAGATAAAATATACGAATTTTTCAGCAAAATAAATGATTTGAATTATCAAAATAGGGCCCAAAGAGCACCCCAATCCAAATTGTCGATTAGAGGGCATCTGCCTCCTTTCTTTTTGAAATGAACCCAGCTCCTGTCACTACCCTAGTGACAGGAGGGTGGTGTTCGGCACTACTCGTCCCGGGATTCATATCAATAATCCAAATCATTTAATGTATAAAACTCATCAAATATGTCTTCGTTTCGCATGCTAACGTTTTTGGTTTTTTGGTTATTTTACCCACAAAAAGACAAAATAGATTTTTTAACCCAATAAGACAAAATATCACATTAAAACCATAATTATTTTATTTTTTCTCTCACAAAAGTCAAAAAAGTCAAAAAACCTATCCCAAACGAGGTTTTTTAGCCCAGGCTAAAATAGTCAAAAAGTCAAAAAGCCAACCTACTTCCCAAATGAACCCATATCATCTTTGCCTTCATTTGGCAACTCGGGTTGAGTTGGGTTGGGTTTGGGGCTATTTGAGCCACAAAAAGACAAAATAGGCTTTTTAGCTTAATAAGACAAAATGTCACATCAAACCCATAATCATTACATTCTTTCTCTCGCAAAAAGTCAAAAAAGCTAAAAAGCTTATCCCAAACTAGACTTTTTAGTTCCAGGCTAAAAAAGCCAAAAAGCCAAAAAACCAACCCACTTCCCAAACAAACTCTTTGTAAAAAATTACCTTTATTGGATATTAATAACTACTTGATTAGATTACATTTTAAAATAATTTTCAAATATAATTTTCAAAATAAATTGTGACTGAAATGTGATTTGATCAAATAGTTATTGATATTTGATTAATGTGATTTTTTTATAAGAATTATACACTCGACAGGTTTTATATATTCAACGATTTAAATTATCGACATGGACTCGAATCATGGCCTAGCAATGCAAAACAACCCCCTCCAATTACTAGAGAGGAGCTGGGTCGTTTTGAAATATAAATGGCATGTGTATGGAAAAATTATTTGGTGGTCCAGGAAGTACCACGTGGCTATGTCTTTAGCTGACCATAAATCATTATGTTTCTTATTATTCTCTAATCACTCAATACAATATCGTTAGCTCCATCCTCTCCATAAATCACAACACACTTGAGGCATCACATGGCCGTGCCCCAGAATCACCAAATAACACTACAAAAAATTAAAGTTGTAGAGACCAAAATTTAAGAATAAAATTATATTTTAGGGACCAAATTTGGCAATATTTTCTTCGTTCAGTGACACTCGAAAGTGTTACAAAATTATTTCTCTAGTGACATTTTTTTAGCCTTGTGGTGTTTTAAACAAGTATCATTTATACCCATGTCACCATAGATACTAGTGGCACTTTAGTGACGCTTGCAAGTGCCATTACACCATCAAGGTTAAAGACTTTCAATGACACTTCGATGTCATGATAGACATTATTCGTGACTCAAGTAATGCTATGTATCATGAAAAAAATATCATGAAATTGATCATAAAAGATTTTCCACCGTTAGATTACACATGCAAAAAAACAACACACACTAATGAAGGGATGAAAATTTTTTATAAAGCATTTCATGATATTTTTTTCATGATCCCTAATATTATTCTTCGTGACTCTCTCAAACGCCATTAAAGAAGTCTTATAATTTTAAAATTCCCACTACATACTTTTTTAATGACACTTCTTATACCATAATTAATATTTTTAGTAACTCTTATAAATGTCACTAGATCCAACTTTTAGTGACAGCTCAAAGTGTCAGTGTTTCACCATTCATTTATGCCATAAATGGAGATAAATTGAAAGACAATAAATAAATAAATAATTAATTAATTATTTTACAACATTGACTCCATTGATATTTTGGTTTGCAAGATAAACAAATAAAATTTCATTTATTAAATATAATACAACAATATTGTTCTTAACTAATAAAATAAAATCAGAACATTGTTCCTATTTTGACAAAGTCAATATCATTATCATAATATCATAAACAAAAATTAAACAAATACAATATTTACATGTCCAAAAAAAAAAAAGAGAGGTAATATTCATATCCATAAAAAATGTGTATCGCTATAGTACTTTAATAATATTTGTGAAAGTCAATGCCCAAATCGAATTCTCATAAGCTACTTGTAATTGCTAGATGCAGCCTCATAGAAGTGTCTATACAAATTAGAATGGGGCCTCATAAATATGTTCTTCAAATGCTTTGATGATGACACACTGAAATACAAGCAAAACTTAACAAGTAAGAAGAAAATACACTAAGAGAAATTAGAAACAAATAGAAAAAATATACTAGCCAATGTTTGATTTCAATCAAATGAAATCTCAAATTGACCCATTAGAAGCTCCAAAATTCCAGTAAAGGAACTCAAATCAATGCCCTTTCATTGGGGCATTTTATCAAACAAGTAATATGCGCGCACACACAAAAAAAAAAGATTCATCAAACCTCCTATTTAGGCTTCACAGTCAGAGAGACTTGGCTTTATTCACAAGTTGAGTAGCAAATTGTTCCAAATTAAACAAAGACATCGCGCTAATAGAAAACATTGTGAGAAGAGAAGGGTAGATAGAAATATGAGAAATTGAACCTGCATTGTATTGCTCACAGTGCTAGAAAAGATGGTGACTGTTCGTCAGTCCAGAAGATGGTCGTAATGGCCAGTGTACGGCGGTCGTCGTGGGCAGTGCGATGGCTAACTTCAGTGATTTTTATCAATGACGAACAAGATATAGAAACATAAACTAGGGATTTTAAAAAGACGGGTGTTTTTTTTTTTTTTTTTTCACTTCTTTGATTTTAAATCCAAATCATATTGTCACAACTCACAGCAATGGAGGACTCCACTAAGGGGCAAGATTGGTGCAATGACACTTTTAATGACATTTTAAAAAAAATGCCAAACTACTAAAGTTTAGTGGTATTTTTTGATAAATGTCATTAAAATAATTTTTTATGTCATTCTTTTATAAATGTCATAAAATTGATACTATTAAATCACATTCTTATTGTAGTGATATGACACTTTTTCATTAAAATGTTACTAGAGTTTTTTATGTTTGTGGTTCTGAGATATTTTTTAAAACATGTCCCAAATATTATTTTTGTGGCATTTTCTAAAAATATGCCAATAGTGTAGTACCACTAAAGTATATTTTTGTTGTAGTGAAATATTTTTGTTGCCAAAAGTGTCGTCATTATATTTTTAGCAACGAAAATTGGCCATTAGTGATAAATTATTATCCTTTTGGGACCAAATTTTTTGTTTCAAAAAATAAACCATTTTCAGACTAAATTATTTTATCCCTAAAAGTCTGTTTATTAGTGACATTTTCAAATTTTTGTCGTTAAAAGCCTTATTTTTGGCTTTTTAGGACGATCTTTTAACGACTATTTTCACGACGATAAAATTGATCCTTAAATATCTTTTGTAGCAAAATTTTTACTTTTAGATATCAAAAAACTTGATTTCTAAAACTTTTATATATTGTAAAAACTTCTCATGTCCATGTTCATTTTGAATGTAATAATGTTAAAATAATTATATTTTTTCACTAAAATGATTTTTAATTTTTATAATTTTTGGACTACTCATTTTTTAGAAGTTTGGCTCAGGCACTCGTATGATTGAAAGTATGTGATGATACAGCGGGTTCCAGATGGAACGAGTCGGACTGATCCATGCTTCCCAAACCAGTGGCCGAGGTGCCAAGCCCACAGAGGAACCTGCACAAGAGTTCAACGGAGAACGGGGAGTCTCCCAGCGAACCTTCCGACGATTAAGTTAGAAAGAGAGATGGAATGTAGGGATAGATTAGAGATAGAAAGCTTAACCTTCTTCTTGTCTTCAACGTCTGCTTATATCCTCTGGCAATCATTTCGTTTCCCTTCCGACCTGTCATCTTGGCCGAAAGTCTATGCTCTAGCTTGCCTTGTTCATGGTGAGGCCGTTTTGTCTCGACGGGGAGGGGTTATCGCAATAAATGCTGTAAGGGGCTTCATTAATGGCTGATGTGCAGTGCAATAACTTTGCAGAATCTTTGTCTGCTTATGTGGCTTATCATTCTCTTGCCACGTGTTTAGATGTCATTGGTTCTTAATGCCATGTTGAGCTTCAGCAACGTTGGGCTTTAGTATTTGAATTATGTATTGGGCCCTAAGTGGTGGGTTATAACCTTTATGGGCTTACCCATGTCAGTAGTTCCCCATTCCCGAGTGCAGCTTTAGTCCAACGAAGGGAATAATGAAGAAAATGATGGTTGCTAGAGATCGACGGGGCGAAGACCGACTGAGAGGTGGGCCGACGGCGATGGGTGGCCGAGTAGAGGGA